GTACCGCCGTGTAATCCATTTATTTCAACAAAGTAACTGTATTCTAAATACCACCTTTTTAAACGGTAACTGTAACGGAATACAGTTACTCATATTTTGTCTTTTAAATACGTAACGGCGGTACATGTATTCCGTTACTCCCCAACACTGATTACATGCATGTGTTCCTTTTCTTTCTGTTTCTGCCTCATTGGGACGGGCTTTTGCCCGGTGGTGTGGGGTCCTGATTGCTCCAAGTTTGTGTTTCAAAGGGTGATGGGAGTCAAAGAGGAGATGCTGGTCTGTGTGCGTGAGCTCCCAGTAAACGTAAACTTTGAGGCTTCCCGAGTCCTCAATGCACTCAGCACAGTCCATAAATGGCAAACTATGGTCCTTTGTGTCTTCCCTGGTGAACTTTATGTTTCTATCCACTGAGTTGATGTGAACAGTGAACGATTCTACTTCTTGGGTTTTGATAGATTTTGATTTTAACCGCAGTGGCATCCACATATCTTTACGTGGCTACGAGCCAAGAGCTTTACTCATCTGTAGATACCCTTGTTGTATTTAAAATATCTGGTTGTAAGTATGTGGTCTAACAGCATGTAAATCTAATGCAACGTGTTCTTTACAGTGACCCTTTCTCTTATTTTTAGATATATATTCCTCTTGACTGTACATATTTCTCCTGTTTGCCATTTATTCATATTTTTATTCCAGCACAGTTAGTGTGGAGCACCCACAATTTCATTGTACATGTACAATGACAATAAAGGTCTATTCTATTCTATTCTATTCTATTCTATTCTATTCTATTCTATTCTGTTCAGGAGTAAAGTTCTGTAAGGAGCTGGATGCTGTTGTCTTGTTGTGACAGTCTCCACTGCCTTGGTTAAAGATATGAAATGTAGGTCTCATTAAAGGACACTCTGGTTTCATCTGGATCCAGTGATCCAGGTTTGAGGTCTGTCGAGTTTTTAATGGGGTGTGTTTTCCACCAGGGGGGCTGGGATGGTGGTGAGATGTTTGGAAATGTTGTAGGTGGCTGAGTTTACTGCTGACAATGCACTTCTTGTGCTACATACTGGCAACCACGTGATTCTGAATCCCCCTTTCTAACAGCAGGTTTGTGGAATTAAAGCACTGACATTAATTTATTTATAATAGGCGGACTCTTTTTGATACACCCTGTTTATATACACGTGTGTCAACATGTATGGTTTGTATTGATAGCACAAATGAGATATTGCAGGGTTATTGAAAGGAGGCACTCTCGTCAGTGTTCATTTATTTTGTTTGAAAATGACTGAGTGCTGCGGAGAGGTGCGGCTCTACTACTTCCTCAGCAACTTTCTGTGGGCAGTCACTGAGGAAGTCTTTAATCCAGAGGGAGATGGAGTGTAGGAGGCTGAAGTTGATTAAGTTTGTCACCAGTCTGTTAGGGATGAACAATGATGTGGGTTTTGTACATAATTCGGAAGCTTTCTGGGGGAAACCAAACCTCTCGTTAGGAAAGATGGCATCCATTCCACTTTGGATGGAGCCGCTTAAATTTCTGGAAATCTGGCCAAATTTCTTAAACCACTTGAAAATATGACTATCCAGTGATTCCGAAAGAGCACCACAGCTCAATGTCTTGCCCAAGGATACTTTGGCATGCTGGATTAAACCAGCAACCTTCCCTGATGACCTCTCCTAGGTTATAGCCACTCCAGTTGCATTTGGACTTTTTTACTCTGCAAAACTTGATCATAAAAGTTTTGCAGAGTTGATGTTGACTCTGTTCATGGAAACTTACAATCGCTTCGGTCCGTGCAGTTTCTGGTGCAGTTTATAGCATATTAAGACATCGGCACATAAAAGGAAACTAACACAGATGTCAAACACTTTTTGTATGTTCATTTCTATGTTTTTCTCTCTTCAAAGTGTGCTGAACATGAAGCAGGCCATTGTTCTGGGCCAGTACCTGGGAGCCTTCAACCTCATGGACGCGTTCAGGGGGCGCTCCAGGAAACAGGAGTGACGGAGAGGAGAAGCACTTATGAAGAACACCTACGATGGAAGGATGGATGCATTAAAATTAACATCAACAACAATTTAATTGTTAACCCTCAAATCAAGTGTTTCTTGGTGTAATATCAGGGAGAAGCACATCTCAGTGTAACGAGCCTTGTATTTTAAATCTCAACTTCCCAAATGAATGAATGATTTTTAAATGTGTTTTTAAATTGCATTATTATTATTATTAGTGAATCATTGTCATTTTACAGTCTGTGATATAATATTAACAGGAATACATGTTGTTTTGTTAATGCATGCTAGTTTAATTTATTCTTAAGCTGCATCAAATGTGACGTTGTTGTGAATGTTTCTGACATTTCTGAAATCGCCTTTGTGTAGATTGTTTAACACTGACAGTTTCCATCGTAATTGTCAATTAAAAATGCTTATATGATGTTGCTGCCAAATTTAGTGCATTAATAAAGAACATCCATTTACTAAGAGGCCTCTTCAGTGAATGTGCTATAATTGGAAACCTTTAAAAATGGCATCAGTTGAGTTTTCAAACAGGCACACCATGGACCTGAAAATGGGACCCCAGGAAAAGAGAGGTTGACGCACACATTTAGTTGTTCATGCTGTTTAGTGTTTACCAGCTGAAATACTTTCTCATCAAACACCAAGAGCCAGAGCCAAGCACTCAGGAACAATCAACCGTAATAAAGGAATTTCTAAGACGTGTCATTTCTCACCCTGCTGAGGTTAATAGCTGTTGGTTCAGATTACTTAAACCTGCAGTTTGTTCAGGCTGGAAAATTCATTTTCTTTATTTAAGTACGTCTTTATTTGTAACTTTACAAAATGTTGAGGCATTAAATGTCGTGTGTTGAAGCAAAAACTTGAGACAAATCTTTGAAGTTGAGACTTCCAGCTTGTGCAGATGCACCAGTGACATTGAAATAAACGTGGTTTTGTGTCGGCCTGAAGCAACTCTTTCTAACTTTAACTGTAATATAACATAGCAGGAGACACGAGCACGTGCAGCTCTACTTAAATCTGGTCTTTGATGTAACACGTGCATACATATGTGTGTGTGTGCAATGCGACCACTCTCTGCACCCACCTAGTGTGTCAGATCTTGTAATTATGTCTTCATTCCACATATTTTACATACAAGGGCCATGGGTAAACACATGGCTCGCTTCTCTCCCTGCGATGCCCTCACGTCTTGTAAACTGTGTACAGGAACTCACCAATCTGCAGGTTAAATCCAATTTCAGATTTTTCTTTAAAAGTTCTCTGGTCCTCGCCTGCGTACAGTCACCTGTTTATGAATTCGCTTTGGCATTTAAGGACATTTTGTGCTCAGTTTACCCAAAGCTATTGCATTGGCTAGTTAATAGTTGCTGTTTAATGATTACTTTAAATATGAATTAAAAATAGGACTATTTTCTGTCACAAACTTTCCACATTCTCAGATCCAACCCACTCGGGTCGATCGCTCTGTTCGGCAGGCTCATGTTGATCTAGAGAAACGTCTGCAGCAATTGTAGTGAAAATAATTGCATTTGCTCTTCTGCTCCTTCCTCCATTTACGCCAAACAGCGCTCGCATCAAGTCATTTGAAAGTGAGTTGTGTCTTAACCTTGTAAGCAGAACGTGATCATTCATTCCTCCCTTCAATAGATCATATTATCCCTAAAAGCAACAAGCAGGGGGAAAATGAGTTCACGACACATTGCTCACCCCCAAAATT